AGGGCAGCGTAAGTGAGGCTTACCAGAAAAAGAGCCCCATCAGCGTGGAGTGGATGCATTCATTTGTGGCCACTCTCCTCCTTGGAATTCATACAGATTTCCATTATCAGCTCTGGACAGCAGCTCAGGGACCATCTTCTCCCATGCCCATTTGACAGACGAGAAAGCTGGAGCCCAGAAGGAGGCGCAGAGGGAACAGAGGGAGCAGAGCAGGCACTAGAATTGAGCTCCTGACTGCTCCTTCCTAACCGTAGGCGGTAAACCCTGCAAATACGATGCCTTGTCCCCTCCACGCAAGTGCAGAGTGAGGAGGGCAGTTCTGCCAGCCACCTGGGTCACACAGCACTGAGATCCCCACCCTGACACTCGTAGCTGACCTCCTTCCTGACGGCAGAGCAAGGTTGAAATCGGGAAGATACCAGGGGCAGACCGAGGAGGGCGGGGCCCGCAGTCCCCACTACGGGGAGACCTGTTGTATCGAGGCTCTGGGGGGAGGCAGGCCCTGTGAACGCCCCCATTTTACAGATGAGGAAATGGAGGCACAGAGACCCACACAGCTGGGAAATGGCAGCACGTGGATTTGAACTGAAAGCAGGTGAACTCTGAATCCTTCTCGCTAGAGCCCCTGGCAAGGCCAGCCTCTGTGGAGGGTAAGTGTTTCCAACAGTGCCAGGCGCGCAGAGCTGCTCAGTGCTGCTGCTGTTGATAGAACAATAATTATTATTGTCGCTGGGGAAACTTGCCACCAGCATTGCTCTCTTCCCAAACGTCAGAAGAATGAGTATCCTGACACCTTTTACAAAATCTATCAGTTCCTCGCTTTGGAAGTAAGGGAGTAGTTAGCAAGTGCTCAAGAGCAATGCCTGTTGAATTGCAACATTATATGGTTTTTTTAGAAAACACAGAAAGGAGAGGGGAGAGGAAAAGCCACAGACCTTCCGTCCGTTCCATTTCCGTGTTTGTTTTTATTTTGGTTCATAGTTGTGAACATGCTATGAGAGATTTCAGGATGCTGCAACCTTCACTTAACAGAATTCCATGAGCTTTTCTCTTGGATGATAATTTTCAATGACTATAGAATATTCCATCAAGCAGGTGTCTTCTTCATAGCCCCCTCCCCATTTTCCCCAGTCTGGGGTTTTTATTCCAGTGTCGGACACCGCAGCCAGCATCCCTAAGATTAAAGCTCTTGACTTATCTGATGGTGACTTGGAGAAATGAGTTTCTCATAGCAGACTTTCTGGAACCAGGAAGCCAATGTTAGGAGAGGTTTAGGGGACAGAAGACCCTTTTCAGTGCCCTAGTGATGAAACCATGCCACCTACTGTGTATGTCATTCATGATCCAGGCTTCCCCACACTGTGGAATTTTTTTTCTAATTTCTTAAATTCATTTTTATTTATTTTTGACAGAGAGCATGAGCAGGGGAGGGGCAGAGAGAGAGAAGGAGACACAGAATCCGAAGCAGGCTCCAGGCTCTGAGTTGTCAGCACAGAGCTTGATGCAGGGCTCCAACCCATGAACCGTGAGCTCATGACCTGAGCCGAAGTCGGATGTTTAACTGACTGACTCACCCGGCTGCCCCTAACACTGTAGGTATATTTGAACCTCACTTTCTGGGCTGAAGGTTTCTTCTTTTTTCTTCTTCTTCTTCTTTTTTAAGCTTATTTATTTATTTATTTATTTATTTATTTATTTGATAAGAGAGCAAGCACAAGTGAGGGGAGGAGCAGAGAGAGAGAGAGAGAGAGAAAGGAGAGAGAGAATTCCAGGCAGGCTCCGCGCTGTCGGTGCAGAGGCCAACACGGGGGCTCCATTCATAAGCTGAACCATGAGATCATGATTTGAACCGAGATCAAGAGCTGGAAAAATGCCAGGCAACTGAACCACCCAGATGCCCGGAGACCTGGGGATCTTATACTCAACCTGACACTAGTGCTCTACAGGACCTTGAATATGTCACTTTTGGGTGGATTGCCTCCCCATCCTGCCCAGTGAGAAGACCTGATGAGAGAAAGCCCAGTTCCAGCTCAGTCCCTAAGCCACCAGGAACGCTCAGTGTCTTGGGAAGCTCTCTGGGCTCTGTTTCACTGGCTCTTTGTAGAAGATCAGAATGGGGGGAACCACCAGGCAGGCAGAGGTGAGTTCATGGACACCCACTTGTCCTACGTACCCCACTGGACTAAGCATCCATAGAAGACAGAGATCCCAGAAGCCAGCACAAACTCAAAACTTTGGCTACACCACAAATCGCCATCAACAAATTCCTCCGTGCTGTCTCAGAGCCTTTGAACTTGGGAAGCCTCTGCCTAGAGTGCCCTCTCCTTGGCTCCTCCCACAGCCAGCTCCATCTCATCACTCACGTCTCAGCTCTGATGTCCCCTCTTCCAGGAGACCCTTACTCATCACCTCACCCAGTTTCATGTTCCTTACAGCACTGAGCCACTATTTGAAAGGATACTGTTGATATCAGTGTTTCCTTCTTAGGTGTCCATCCACTGCCCCTTGAATGTCACCTCCAAGAGAGCAGGGACTAGGATTGTCACCACTTATTCCACAGAACCCCACAAACACGTGGGTGCTCCAGGTACAACTGTGCATATAAAAGCCACATGTATTGAGCACCTACTATAGGCCAGGCACCAGTCCAAGCCTTTTAGATATAGCAATTCTTGTAATGCTCCCAAGCCCCTGAGCCAACAGCAACTATTATTCCTTTTTTATAAAGGGGGAAACTGAGGCACAGAGCAATTGAATAACTTGCCCACCATTCCACAGCTAATAAATAAGACAGCTGGGATGCCCTACTGCACACTGTAAGAGTATGCTGAGCCACACACGGGACAGCATCCCTGTCCCCATGACATTCAGGGGCTAACGGGCTAGCTGACCTAGTCTACAATACAGGAAGTCAGGGATACTTAGTCACTTCCCCTAGAGGAAGCAATCCCTCAGCTAAGTCCTGAGGACATGTAGGAATGTGTCAGGATGAAGTGGAGGGAAGGACAATCTAAAGGAGGAAACACTGTGGAGGCCAAGAGATAAGCCACTGGGCACCAAGCCTGAAGAACTAGAAGCGGCTTGTATGGCTGGAATAGGGAACACAGGGGTATGCCACGTGTCAAGGGATATGAGCATCTCAACCCTCAGTGACTGAGATTTTTTTTTAAAGTCCCGGGGGGAATATGAGGCAATATGGCTGGGAAGATGGGCACCACTCCCCCAGGTCATGCAGGATCTTGGCAAGCTCAAGGGTCCATATATTATTTCAAGGTTCTACGTCACATCTCCAAGACTTGTGGAAGCCCCTCAGCCAGTGGTGCCCAAAGGCCCTGCAAGGGTCTCTGGAAATTTCTGCTGACTCACTGTGGGACCTCAGACACCTCTATACTCTCTCTGGGTCTTGGTCTCCCAACTGGTATTGAATGACCCAGTGTCAAAAGCACATCTCCACTCCATCAACCCGGCATCCCATAAACAGAATGCTGTCGACCAATGAGATTCTGACATTCCTGGAGTCCGATTCTGGGACTCTCGTGCACCGGCCGGCCCAATACTTGCTGAGGCCAGCCCACCACCATGGCACTTTGCCAAGCAAGTCTCTGGGCAGGGGGTTGAGTTCTCCTGTTCCTCGTTCCTCCAAGATATAGAGGCTCCCCCAGGTTTTGGCAGGATGGGAGGGGGGGTCTGCTCGGATCCTCCTGGAGACAAAGGAGCTGACCTGCAAAGAGTTCCAGCCGGAGCCCCGCTCCCCCTCCCTTCCCCCCTCTCCCTTCCCAGTCCACGTGTCTCTATTGTCTGCTCCCCGCTTCAGGGAAAGACACAGCCTCGGATGTGTCAAAACCACCACCCCCCGGCAGCAGGGAAATTAATTACTGGACGATTTTCACTTCCTCTTGCAGCGCCTGCCTGAGCGAGGCACCGGAACAGGACCGGCAGAGAGGGGCCGGCATCGGCATGGGGGACTTGCTGCCCCCACCAGTTCTGGGAGAAGAAAGTTGAACCCCAAACCCAATAGGGGCATCAGTGGGAGGCCAGGCTGGGGCGGGGATGACGACTTCCTCTAGTTAAAGCTGAGTGTCCACACTGGCCACTTCTGAACTGGGGGAAAGGGAGAGGACTGGAGGCAGGAGGGTCGCGGCTGGAGAGCCCACACTCTTTTCTTTGCATCCCCTTCCCTGTGTCCCCATGTGCCTGAACCCCGCCTGCTCGGACCACTCTCTGTCCTCTCCCCTGGGCTTCTTCCTTTATCTTACACTTTTCTTTCCCTTTCTTTGCATCCCCGGGGCAGGGAGGGCTTTCTTTCTGTGTGTCTGGGTCTCTTTTTTCCCCCATGGATGTGTGAGCGGGTGTTGCTACTTCTTTCCATCTCTGTTTTCCTTCTCTGTTTCTCTCTTGTGTCTTTTTGTCCTTATCTCGGTCTCTATTCCTACCTCTTTCAGTGTATGTCTCTTTCCGCCTTTCTCTGTGTATCTCCTCTCTCCTCTCTCTGCCTCCCACCCCCACCCCCCCACTCCTCTTTCTCCGTCTCTCTGTATCTCTGCGCCTTTCTCGCCCTCACTTTCTCCCCTCCTGCCTGCCCGCTGCTCCCTGCGCCTGGCCTGCCCCCACCGCTGCCGGTTCAGGGGAACGTGTGCGGAGCGATTGTCCTGGGGGACATTTGATGGATTAGAGCGCTGAACAGTTCCATTGCTAGGGGACCACCTGATCTCCTCCAGCCTGCGTCCCATATAAAGCCGGCAGGCAGCCGGAGTGCTGAGCACAGCTCCAGCGATCGCCTGTCTGCGCGCCGCCGCCGCCGCCAAGCCCGAGCGGGAGCCCGAGCCAGAGCCGGGGCCGCCGCCACCGGGGCCGGCTCCGCGCGGCCGCCCGCCCGCCCGCCCGCTGGGAGCTGTCCAGTGCTGAAACCCCGCGCCGACAGCCAATCGCGCCCGGCTGGCCGCCTCCCCCCACCGGGGCCCCACGCAAGTGCCCCCGCCGAGCCCCCCGCCAGTCGCACCATGCCGCGCTCCTTCCTGGTAAAGAAGATCAAAGGGGACGGCTTCCAGTGCAGCGGGGTGCCGGCCCCCACCTACCACCCTTTGGAGACCGCCTACGTGCTGCCTGGCGCCCGGGGGCCGCCCGGGGACAACGGTGAGTAGGACCCGGCGGGGGGGGGGGGGGGGGAGGGAGAGGGAGGGGAGTTCGGGCCCTCCCCAACTCGGGCCACGAGGAGGGGTGCGCGCGGCAGGGAACCCCGGGAGGAGATTTCCCTGGCTGTGTGCGCCTCCCGGGCTTCCCGAGGGCCCGGCGGGCGGGGCAGGGGCTAGGTCCCTACAAAGGGAAAGTCGCAGGGTCGATCCATCCCACAGCTATGCGCCAGCCCGGACTTAGAAAGTTGTGGCCCTAAACGGGGCTGGAGTAAGGGGTGGTGAGAGAATGGAAAGAGAGAGAGGCACCCACGAAGGGCTAATGCTGGGGAGGGGGCTGATGCACAAGGCAGTCTGTGGGTCCCCTCTCCCCGGTGGAGGGAAGGAGGCTGGCTGGCTGAGTGTACTGCCCTCGTGGAGCAGATAAGGGGGTCTGGACTAACAGTCCCTGGAGAGATAGGGTTGGCTCCTTGGGTGTAGCGGGGGGGGGCTCCCTCCTTCCCTTCAAGCCTGCTCCCCCTGGCGATGCCAGACAAGTGTTCTCAGGTCCCCTCTCTCAGCAACTCTTTTGTTACCCTCAGCCACATGCCTGCCAAAGGCTGGGCCCCTCCTGGGGACTGCAAGGAAGAGGGGATTTCTAGGAGGGGTTCCCCCAAAGTGGAGCCTGGTCCCATGGGCTGCACTCCCTCCCCACTCCAGCTTCTCAACCCCCTCCAGAGCCAGCCCTGCTGTTCCTTATAAGTCCCCCACCCCCAACACACTCCATCTCTTCTCGGAGCAAGTTCCTGCAGGGACAAGGATTTGAGGGACAAGAGAGGTCATTGAGGCTCAGAAGGGGGTGGTGTCTGAAGGGTGTAGGGAAGAATCTGAGACTGCCTCCGTAGATCCCATCCCCCCATCAAGGGGATCACAAAAGGGTTCTCCTCTGATGGCCCACACCAGGGCAGCTGTCTGGAGAAGAGGCATCCCTTTGGCAATAAGAAATCTGACATCACACGTGGCATCAGCTTTGGGGTGTGTGGGGAGGGGGAGATGAGGGAGAAGAGGGGAGGAGTGAAAAAGAAGAGAAGAAAGGGCTGAGACTGGGGGGTGGGCCGAGGTGGTGAAGGCAGGAGCCAGGGAGGGTGGGAGTTCCACCTTAGGGATTTCCAAGCACTTCACTCACATTCCATCACTCTGTCAAGCCAGGTAGCAAGAGGGCGCTGGGCAAAAGGCTCTGTGACCTCATCAAGGTCAAAGAAATTAGGGAGTGATCAGGGATACAGCTGCAGCCCCTCAGCCCCTGGCCTCCTCCAGATCCCCAAAAGAACCAACCCCCATTTTCTTTGCCCATAGGCCTCTCATTCTACTGTCCTCTTTTCTTGACCTCAGGGCCTCTCTTGGGTTCGAGGACAGTGGCCCAGGGATATGGCCGGGCTTGTCGGAGTGCTGGCAGGACAGAGGGTGGGCCTGGGACCATGCCAGGGCTGGGGAGCGTGTGTGCTAGGATCTGGGTAGACATGCCTGCAAGACTGGTATAGGGATCCCTTGGGGGACTGACACAAAACCCTGGGCTCCTACCCCCCGAGGCCCCTGTGGCCCTGTCCCCAGGCCAGCTGAGGAAACCCAGAGAAGCCTAGAGAATTTCTCATGCACAGTCCAAACTGCAAACTATTCCTCAGGAGGAAGGCAGGAGTGCCTTGCTTTGAATTCAGGCCAAAAAAAAAAAAGCTTTGAAAGGAGCTTCTGAGCAAATGGTGGGCTCAGGGCAAAAGTGGGGGCAAAGCTATCAGCAGAGGTGTGCCTATAGGGGTTCCACCAGGTTTGAGACCCTAGAACTCCCGTCTTCTGCCTTTTCCCCAAAAGGCTGTAGACCAGCTCCCTAGCCTCCAGAGAAGCCGGAGGCTGCCCGGACAGTCTGATATCTGGCCTGGAACCCTGAGAGACTAGAGCTCTAGGTCTCTGACTCGCTATGTGACCTTGGGCAAGTGTCTTCCCTTCTCTGGTCCTCTGCCTCCCCAGCAGTGAAAGAGTTTGGATGGCTGAACCGAGTAGCCTTCCAACTTTGACAAGCTCAGCTTTTGTGAAGGTCAAGTGTGGGATGGGAGGCTTTGGAGATGCCTCGCGGAGGGTCTCACGGAATGCAGGGGGCCATTGTCGGGGTTTCTGTAGGACTGTTTGCCATCCACTGCCTGGCTGAGGGTGGCAGAGTTTCTGAGAACCGGTATTTCTTGGCTTCATTCTCTGCAGGCTGCCCCACAGTGAGGACAGTCACCCTGGCTTCGCTGCTTTGGCAGTGTCTGCAGGACAGGGTTAGTGACAGAGACCAGAGGGTGACCCTTCAAGCCTGGGTATGGCCAGGCAACACCGGGTCTGCCTCATCCTGTTTGCAGGGGCCTCTCCTATCCCTGGGGTGTGGCTAGACTGGACAGTGAAGGCTCCCTCATCCCACGGGTGGGTAGGCTGGTGGGGGTCCTCAGAGAGCCTACTGGCTCCTAGTGGCCCGTTGTCTCCGCTCTGCCGGAAATAACCTTGCTGAGCGTTTGAGGGAAGTGTGAAAAATTGCTGAGCCGACGTTTTTCTCTCCCAGCGTGTGTAAGTGTGCTGGGTAAACAAGGAGAAAGAGAGGAGGGGGGGGAGGTGAGGAGATGGAGGGAGGAAAGGAGGGAGGGAGGAGAAGGAGGGGGAAGGGGGAAGGGGGGAAGGGCCTGGGGCTGGAGATAGTTCCAGTTATTAGAAAGATCCTCTTACAAGCCATTCCTGCAGCAGCGGCTACAGGGTCAGGATGAGGCTGGTGGGAGGGGGAGCTGAGGAGGGCTGCAGGGAGGGGGCCTGTGAATGTGGAGGTCAGGAGAATCGCCAGCTCCTAAGTGATGAAGATGCAGGGCCCCAAATTAAAGAGGTGTAGACTCCCAGCTCAGGGAATGCCTGGGAGTGCTGAGGATTCCTGGAGGACTCCTCCTACACACACACACACACACACACACACACACACACACACACACACGCAATGTTCTTCTTTGCCTCCCTACTCCCTCCCTTTTCAGCCTCTACAGGCTGGGCAAAAGGTGCAGGTGCATCTGGGCTCCAGGCCTCCCCCGCCCCAGCCCAAAGAGTCCCCAAAACAGGGAAGGGGAAGCTTCCCAAATGGAAAAAATCTCCAGGCCTTTCCGCAGAACTCCCCAAAGAAGGCAGACCAGATTTAATTCCACCATCCTGTCCAATACAATGCCTTCATTTCTCCCCCTCCCTCTCCTCTTGCTCTTCCACTGTTTTCTGCCTCAGTGCAGCCTCTCCTTCCCCTCCTCTCCCCTGAGTGATTCTGAACACAGATTCACTCTTGTGAGATGCCAACTCACATCCTCCTGACCCTCTCAGAACCTCGCCCTCCAACTCCACCAAGACCACCCCTTCGCAGCCCGGGGAGATGCTGGGGGCTCTTAGCCATCCCAGAGCAGGCTGCGGCATCTATCTGCATGGCAGCAGTCTCCGTGGATCCCAGCCCATCTTCCCTGCCTACCTCCATCGCACCCTCACACCCCAACTCCAAACTCCAGCTGGGCTCCCTGTTCCCCCTCTTCTGCACCCCCACCCTGGTCCTGCCCCCGTGCTGCTTCAGAGTGCATCTGACCCAGGCAGATGAGGAATCAATGCCAATCCAATAACACAGTTGTCTCCCCTCCACAGCTACATTAAGCCTCCCCAGCAGGCTGAAGAAGCACTCCTACTCTTGCCCATGGGCTTATCTAGTTGACCACATTATACCAGCGCCCACTTCCTCTCCCTCCCTCGGATGGCGCCAGGGAGTCGCTCCAGGCCAGGCCTGGAAGCCTGGCTCAAAGTCCCCAACACATCCACCCCACACCTCAGAAAGTCCATATGGGGATCAGGGACGCAATAGGGCTGCCCCAATTCCTTGGCAGAGGGAGCCCAGAGAAGGCTGGGGAGGTGCTCAAGGACACACAGCAGGCCCATCTGGCTCTTAACTACCACTTCCCCTGGCATCTCAGTCTGGGTCTAAGCCCAAGATCCAGGTTAGAGACACATCAGAGGTCCAGGTTCAAAGTCCAGGTCCAATGTCCAGTATAATGTCCAGGTCCAGATCTGAAAACCGGGCCCAACATCCATGTCCAAACTTAAGTCTAGGACAGGGTCCAAGGCCAATGTCCTAGGTTAGTCTAGTCCAAGAATCAGAACAAATTCATGTCCAAGTTCAAGTTTCCGTGTCTGAGATCAGGTCCAGGTCAATGTTCGGGGTCCGGGATTAAGATCCAGGTCAAATTTCTAGCTCAAGGTCATGTCCAGGTCCATTCTCAAGGCTTGCCAGGTTGAAGTCTTAGACTCACCATTACCTTTCTATACGGCCTTGGACTAGTCCCCCCTACCTCAACCTTAGTTTCCCTCTCATGAATTCAAACAGTTGAACTTGATCTCTTTCATAGGGACCCAGAAATCTGATTTTCCTAAGAATTAGTCAGTGGGAGTGTGGTATAATGGGGCCCATGTGGAATATGGAATCTGGGGCCCACAGTCAGTCCCCTCTAAGCCTGGGATCATAAGGGGCACAGAGCTGAGCATCAACTCTCTGAGCAGTCTCAGTTTGTGGCTCCTGAGGGAGAGCAGAAGAGAACATCAAGTCGCTATGCCAGCACAGCAATTTATATCATCCCCAAAATTCCCCACACCCCCATTCTCCCGACGCACACACTGTAGGCAAAGGGCAGTGAGCACAGGGGAGGATTAGCTCCAACCCACAAAGGCGAATGAGGCCAGGGAGGCCCATGACTTGCATGAGGTCACAGGGCATTAATGGTGCACCCTGTCATGCCTCCCTGGAGAGAGCTTCATCTACATGTTCTAGGGACCTCCAAGCCTGGAGGCCCTCTGGGAGGCATGGCAAGACACTTGCTGAGAGAGATGAGGCCCCCGGAGTTCTTGGCCTCCCTCCTGGCTGTAGTGTCCGGCTGCCAGCCTTTGGGTAGGAAGGGAGCGTGGAATGGGCCCTCTGACTGCACCCTTCTGGAG